CGGTATAAGCTAGGCTAAAATTATCTATTTCAGTTAATGTTGCAGGTTGCATTGTTCCTTAATCTTTTAATTGGTTATTATTTTTTGCAGACTGTTAGAGCAATTTTATAAAATGTAAGCTTGAACTTTCGATTATGTTAAAAAGAGTTTCTGTTTCTGAAGCTGCCAAAGCATCTACAAAGCGAAAGCATGTTTCGATGGCCATCAAACAAAAAGTGGAATTGCTGCCAAAAATGGATAAAGGCATGAAGAAAGTAACAAAGAGGTTAATGAAAATGAAAAAAATTTCGATTAGTAAGTTAGTCGGTATTCTCGGCACAGCAATTACAGGACTTGAACAGCGGAACTTTGTAATTGAACAAGAAATTACGTGTGTTTATAGAATTAAAGAGAAAGTATTAGCACATAAAATGAAGTAACTTAAACAACTTACATTGAAAGAAATGTTTAATAAAGTAAACAAATAAATATAAAGTTTTTTTTTTTTTTTCTTTTTTTTTTTTTTTTTTCTTTTTTTTTTTCTTTTTTTGTAAATTTGGATACTCTTTAGATCATAATTGCTCTTTATTCATAAATTACGGTTTCATATTTTTAATTTTATAATTTCTGCATGCCATCTTATCAGATTTAAATTGATGATCTATAATCTCCCCTAATCCAAAAACCCCTAATCCAGAATCGCCGAAGTCCCGACAAGTTCGGATTAAAGACTTTGTACCGTATATATATACACATATATAGGTACTGTTGTGTTAATATTGTGCAATTGTTCAGCGAGCATAAACGTCAGTTCAAAATGTAGGTACTTGGTGGTAACCCTAATGACATATAAAGGAGTATGAAAAAAATTAATGGTACGTATGTATTAATGCAACCACCTTAGCAAAATCTGGCAATTTATTGCAGATGAAAAGATCAAAGTTACTTATTGGATGCAAGTTAACAATTTTCAATACTTTTTTCATATTCACAAACTGTCAATATTTGTCGTAAGTTGGCAGACATTATCAACATATAAAAGTAAAAAAAAAAAAAAAAAACTAACAATTTAAAATGCTAATTTTATTTATGTAATAAGGGTTATATGATAAATTCAAAAATTAAGTTCTTTTGTAAATTCTTTTTGTAATTTTTTTGCACTTTTCTCCCCATGTACACAGTGATCTATTTTCACTTAGAAAAGAATCAGAATTGCACAAACTGAGCATTGTGCACTGGCTATTAACCAAACTTGTTAAAATTGAATAACAACCTTGTATTTAGCATACATATATAAAAATACACAATCGATTTCAAGAGCAGCTAAAGGTCCCTCCTCATCAGGAGAACGAAATTACTAGAAAGGGGAAAAAAGAAGAAAAATAAAGCATTGGCAAAGGAGTCTCAGAAACACGTGGTCGTAACCAGATTTTGAATCAGAGTTACACTGGCCGCCTACTTTTACTGAGCCAGGCTATCTCATCAAACATATAACACATAGCCTAAAACGCAAAAAAATATCAGCAAAGTAAAAAAAATAGGCAAAGTAAAAAAACTGCACCTTCACGCACCAAGTCTGAACCTCGAAATGATCGAGGGATTGATTGTGTATGATATATGGAAAAATAAAGAAAGGCTGTTGAAACATTACAGCAACAGTGATTCTAAAACCAGAAATCTTTGCATGAGGTGAAATTGGCAAACCTCGATGGTGTGTACATATAATACAATGACTAATATAATCAGTTTATATAGGTAATAATAATTTAATGCATATAATAAGTTATTGCAATAATGTATATAATAATTTAATTAAATGTATCTAATGCACCTTATTTATTTTGCACTGATTTATCTTTAATGTCCCGAAATCCACAAAATCCTAAAATCCGCGCAACCTCTGGTCCCAGGATTTGCGGATATCTGGACTTTTGCTATATATAGTGTCTGTGCTGTAAAGAGGTCTTCAAAATGCATTGTGAGCTGAAATCTTCTTGTGAGTTGTTGGTAGGGAAGAGGGGTGGAGGCCTTCAGACTGTCTCTAGGGAATTCTGCCTCAGAATTCCTGGCATTTGATATGGGGTGGAAGCTTAGTAGCTAGCAAAGTCCAGTGATACTGTAATATGGCTACATAGATGCATCAAGTGCCGGCCTTTCTTCAACCTATACATCTAAAAAGTATAGTATAATACAGGGAGTATTCGTTCAAAACTACAGAGGATCATTTTTTACCCCTGAATTAATTGTTTCTTTTATCCTCTTATACAAAAAGGTCTGAAGGCTATTACTAATATAAATGATTCATAACATAAATTAATTTAATATTTTTTATAAAATAAATTTTTGGTACTTTCTGATTATCTGCACCCCTACTGAAAAGAAACAAAAATTGTTGAGTAATGATGTTAAAAAGTATTTATTTGGCAACCCAAGTATGTGCATAATACATGTGGATTTAGATACATGTGCATTGCACTTTTGAAATTCAGTGGTCATTTTTCTGATTAATATGTCTTTTTTTGCATTGAATACATTTGTTTTCTTCATAACTAATAATAATGGAACTGAGGAGTTGAAACTAGTTTATTTTCATTTTGTTGAAGTTTCAGCTTATGTGCATGATGCCAAGTTTGTATAGTTCTCTGTTTTTAGTGAAAATGGTTCATGGGTATATGGAGAACAACAATGAAAAACAAACGAAGAGGGTTTCTCGAAAAAGGTACATTTTTTCAATGAATGTAAGAAAAAAGGGGGGGGCAGTACTGGATGTATTATTGAAACAAACAATAATACCTGAACAAATATTTTTCTCCAAAGTCGGTAAAGAGTTTACAACTTTTTGCTACAGGTATGGATAGTTAAAATATTTATTTATTTATTGCATAGAATGTTTTCTAAAAGTGTTGAGTTTCCTTATGTAAGGATTAGATGCCTTTTCAAGTAACTTCTTGAGCACTCCTTAGCCATTGGTAAATGGAGTACACAAAGTAACTGATGAAGATTAAGATTTATCGAATATTATTTTGATGTTAATTTTTAGAGAATTGTGATGTCTTCAGTTAGTGTAAAATTTGAAATTTCAAGTGAAGCAAATAAAAGTGAAACTAATTTTATTATGATATAATAATATTTATGTTGCTAAAAGCTAGTTGTAATATTCTGTGATATAAACAAACAAACAAAAAAAAAAAAAAAAAAAAAAAAAAAAAAAAAAAAAAGGTCTTCCCTGGAGAAAGCTTCATAGTTATTAACAACTTTTCTGAAACAGGGACTTTAAAAAAATAATTGAACTAGAGTTTTAAATTTTAGGACTGATAATTGTTTATTTTAAAAAAGTATTATGGTAAAAATTTTAATTTTATACTTTTAGAAGTGATAGTACACTTGCAATTTTTCATAATTCACATTTTTTACATGCTTATAGTTCTTTTATTTTCTAATGCTTTAAAAAAAAAAAAAAAAAACTTTTTGGTTGCAGTTTTTTTTTTTTTTCTATTTTTAGGGTCGATAAATATGTAATATAAAATTCTAACTTTAATTTTCAATAATGCTGTAAATCTTCTTTTTAATTTGGTTATTTTCCATTTTTATCATAAAAATATTATGATCAATCTTTCTCTCTCTGGTTTGTCATTTCAGAATTCATTATGCTGGTGACATATATTTACTGAATGCACCATTATTAATAATAATGATAAAATTTCCCAACGAGTAACATAATAAATTAGTATAAATAAAATGGAATTATGACACTAATCTTTGTTTGACATTCATAAAGTAATCTATGCTTTCTCCTATTGTGGTGATATGTTGTCTACTGCTTCTGCAGGTTTTTTTGTTGCGAACTATAACTATGAGAATTGTAACTGTTAACTGTGAAAAAGTGAGGATGCTGTAACATCAGGTTTACATTAGACAACTTCGTGTTTCTCTTGGGAACCACGGTGTCCGCCGAAATGGCCAGAAAGTGATCAAGGAAAAACTCGTTAAAAACACCTCCCATGCACAGCTTTGGTGGACAAAAATTGAAAATATGCCGGAGGAGTAAGTCGCTTTATGCAGCCCCTTTCTGTAATTGAGCTGTTATATTTACTTTTTATTTAATAAAGAAAACTTGTGTTAAGTTTCAAAATAAAAAAGACACCTAGTCTTGGTATTTCCATCACGAAAGTTGGAAGCGTTACAGTGCCCATTTCTGCATTGCTTTATTGTGTTTTATTTAACTAATTACATAAAGAAAATGGCAGTGTATAAATGTGTATGATTGCCTGTTGCTAGAAAAATAATGATACTTTTGACCCTCACTAAATATCAGGGAAAGTATTCATGAGACAAACAAGTGTGTTTTCAAAACAAATGAGGTTGCCAAAAACTATTTGTATGGCAACTCCATTATGCATGTAGCAGATGCTTGTTTTGGCTGGTACGTACTCTAGCAATTCTCACGGATGTTGAATTTGTATACTTTGATTTTTTTAAAGTGAAAACTGTTTGCTGTGTAAAGAGAACAACAGTACAAAATATATATATAATATATATATATATTTTCTCAAAAAAATAAATGTTTTATTACTGATGTTCTTTCTTTTTCTTATTTTATTGACTGATTGCTGTTGTATAGACTTATTAATGTGCCACAATTTTGAAAATGGCTGTTGCTTTTCATGCATTAATTTGATGGTAAATTAGTCACTAACTACTTCATGAAGCCTTTCCAAAGTTACTAGTGAGCTTCACAACTTTTCAGTGAGGTGTGAGCGATCAGGAAATATTAAAATAATCTCCAGCAAAAGCATAAACATCGTCATAAGCCATAAGCATCGTCATTTGTGTACTTCTTCATGTGTCTTTGACATCACCTTTTAAAATTATTATGTAGAATCATCTACCATCATCAAAAAATTTCATTACATATTATTTCTTGCATAAATATTGTATTCTGTAATTCTTATAGTCAATTATTGTATATTTTTATGTGTATTAAATTTATAAGTTATTTAAATGCACATCTCTTTTATTAGTTTCCCCGTCTAATAAAGGAACATTACAGCAAGTAGAAAACCCTACCATAAGCAGTTTGCGAAGATCTCAGATATTGCATAAACCCTCACTTTCTGGTAAGTATAAGAAATGTAACTTTACTGTTTTGTGGACCTTTGTTGACATCATTTATAAAGCTGCATTTTTTATTCTATGCATTAGTTTAGTATTTTCCATTTTATTTCCTTTTATTTTGAAACCATATATGAATGATGTGAATCCGGAAAAATATAACTGGCAAGTAAAAGTCATTTCTCAAACCTTGAAGTTCTATCCTTTTCAAGCTTTGAAATAAGTATACTTGGTACTTTCCTGTTATAGTGTCTTCAGTATGAAACAGAAATAGATGCGTTTCTGCCTCAGCAAGAAACATGGTTACTAGTGTGCACATTTGCACTCTCAGTGGTCGACAGAATGGTGGGACAAAAAGCACAGGGGTATAGCTTGCCTTTCCTGGAAACTTACCTAGTTTACTTTCAGACATTGCATTGGTCATTATAATATGTTTGATAAATTATTAGCAGAAATTACCGCCATGAAAAAGTGTTTCAAATTAATTCTAGATATGTTCTGTGTGTTGTTTAGTTTAAATAAATTATCCACAGAATTGTATTCAATAAAATAATAATTAAATTGCTTCTACACACACTGTAACTGTACATACATATACACTGTAAACCAGTGTACTATAGACACTGAATGAATTGCTTTTGCCTGTTGGGGACTTTATGTTTTTTGCTAAGCTAAAATATACCAATTTCTATTTTTCATGAAAGAAATAGGCAGCTAAGAAATATACTGTTTAAACCACAAAATTGGCATTGGCAAAAATTTTAATTCAACCTAAAAACGTATGGGTTATTAAAAATTAAGGGATAATCTGAAAAAATATGCTCTCTGATCAAAATTTTCAACCAGTGTCCAGTGGTGTAAATATTTACATTAATATTCTGCAACTGAATACAAAATAGAACTTCTGCTAATACGTTAATGCATGCGTACAGAATTTCTAATAGGTTGTACAGAATTGTACAATGACTGTCAGCTTGTGCAATGGACGCATTGTAATCTGAATATATAGTATTGTTCAAAATTAAAATGATTTTTGAGAGTGATCAGTATGTGAAGGGCAAAAGTGACTGTTAAATGACAGATTTGAGGGAAGGAGGCAAATACTAATGGAGATCATTTAGTACCCTAATATTCCTAAAAGTGTCATATTAAGAATTTCAAAGTCCCTTTTTATGCAATGAATATGTTAGTAAATAATTTGATAATTGGTGGCAAATTTTCAAGAACTGCATCTGAAAAACGTTCTCTGCTTGGAGTTATTATTGTTATTAGTTTAACAAACTTTTATTTCAGATCATGATTTCTGATTGATTTTTTTATAAGTGATAAAACATCATTTTCATTGTGATAAAAATTATTTGTAATTGTAAAGTACTGAGTGATGTATTTTTTACCTCATTAACATTCACTAAATCTGCTAGCGATTTTTTTTTTAGCTTTTAAGTCAGATCTATCTAGCTTGATCACTTGACGCATATACTAACTTTCTAAATCTTGCATAGACTACTATATTTTGAATTTGAATCCAGCTGAGCTATTTTCTGTTTTTTGAAGTGAAAGCAAATGTTTTATTTTTCTGTTAGTCTGTAATTATCAGAATTTTTGTATATCAATTAATATTAATATTACTTACTTGATTAATTTTATATTAATTAGTTATTAACTTTGTAACTGGCCAGGCTGTATATGCGACATACTATAATTTTTGTAAGGGTTTTATAAAGTATATATCTATGTGAATTTTTGAAATATGTCAGGGAAATGAAAGCAGTATATTAAAAGTACAAAAACACTTTATATGTATCTGGAACATTTTGACATTTCAAGAAATTACCTATTTCTTTTGGCAGTTTTTCAAAATTTGGGGCTTCTAAGTGAAAACTGGTTGGAGCGCTAATTAGGTACATAATGCAATTATTTAATCAATAACTGTTATTTACATAATAATTTTGTATTAATAATTTAAATATAATTATTAGATTTTTATCTTATTTATAAAGTGATATATATTTTTTTTCATGTACTTAAAATATGTGCATTGTTATAAATTTAATATTAGCTAGAATATTGTTTGCTGTTTAAGGGGATCACTACATTTTTTTGTTTTGAAAAGTCATGAAAAGCATAATTTATTGTCTGTTTGCATTTGGTTATATATCAAGTTTTCGATTAGTAATTTTTGAGCTTTTAGGCTAGGTGTAGCACTTGGCGCATTTCTTAGGTGTTAAATTTTGCATGGGCCATCAAATAGTGAGTTTTAATCCAGCTGAGCTATTTTCTGATTTTGCACTGAAAGCAAATGTTTTGTTGTTTCTGTGATCAGCAGAATTCTATTAATATAAAAAAAATTACATGTAATACATAATAATTTTATGTGTTTAAATATTGTAGTTATTATATCAGTTATTTACATAAGTTTATATTAATTTAATATTAATTATGTAAATATAGTTATTAGAGTTTTACACTCATTATAAATATAATTATCATCAGTGTGATATGTTATATTTGAAATAATTGATCAATTTTTCTTTTATTTAAATGTAGATACACTGAAGTGCCACTGAACTAGGGATAGCTAGTCAATAACGAGTTGGGCCTTCTCTGGCGTTTATAACGGCTGTCAAACGATGAAGCATAGATTCAATAAGTTTTGGGAAACATTCTATGGGAATGGCTTGCAAACATTGGATAGAGCTGTCTATAATTTAGGAAGAGTCGCTAGTGTTGTGTGATGAGGTTTCAAACCTTTTTCGAAAAGATGCTGAGCAGAATTTAAGTCAGGGCTTTTAAGTAGGCAATTTATGACAGAGAAGTTAGAAGAATGCTCATCCAACCAGGCAGAAGCCAACCAGGAACTGTGACAGATGCAGTTATCTTGCTGGGATACTCCATTTCTGTGTGAATGGCAGGACAAATAAATGGATGGAGATGATCGCCCAGCAACTCTATGTACTGAATCATATTGAGGGAGGTTGGTACAAGCACAAAAGATCCCAAACACTGCCAAGAGAAAACATCCCAGACCATGATTAAGCCACCATGGCCTTGTACAATTCCAATCTGCTGTACAGAGTTCACAGTTTCATGAGTCTGACGGCATATTCTCAGCCTCCCATTGGTATTAATTAGTCAGAATCGAGACTCACTCCTTGCTACTCATTTCAAGTCCACTAGAGTCTATTCTCCGTATTGTCTTGCCAAGGCAAGATGCATTCAGCAAAGGTACTGTCATGGGTCTACGGCTTCCAAAACCCATATAGGGAAGCGAGCATTGCACGATCCTTTTATTGACTGTATGACTGTTGCGCTTCATTGACTATGTACAGTACGGTTGAGCCGTCTCACACCACATTTGTTCTAGGTTAATTGTCCTTTCCAAGTTGCCCAATGGCTAGTTCTTCTCCCCACCATCCATGTATTTTCAGTATACTCTTGACACTGTCGACCTTAAAAATCCTAGCCTGTTGAAGATTTTGGAAATTGAATGGCCCTTGCATTGTGTTGCCTACTATCTGTCTGAGATTGAAACTGTCTAAATCAGAAGTTTTACTCATACTGGCAATTGAAACAACTGATTAACAACTATAGTGCTAGCTATATGTGCATTTACCACAACTTCCTCACATGAGCACATATGCGGCACAGCGCTATAAAATTTGCATAGCCATGTCTATCCCTAATTCAGTGGCTTTTCAGTGTATATGTGCACATTGCATTTTACAATTAATTGCTTTCCATTCTCACTTCATTAATATTGTTTTTTCTAGTTTTCAATTTTTTTAGCTTCTGCGTTTTATTGACATTTTTAATCATCGTTATTTTCTGTCTACTACTAAGCCTCTTGTTTATTATTACAACTAATTTTTAAAATGAAATCCTGAAAATTAGAGGCGTTAGAAACCTTGCAAATTATGCTTGCTGTGAGACCGATGGAGGTTTGGTATTGGATACAAATCATGTCATCTTCTTTGACTTTTCTGAATGGGTCAGTAGCTCACATTTACTTAGAAACAAAAATCGTCATACGTAAAAGAAATGCTGTTAGGTGACAGTTTTGCGATGGAGACTTTATTACACTGCTGGAGCAGCTTTGTCTCCTTGTGTAGAGACAGTCTTTTCTAATTCATTAGTTATACTTTGATTCATTGTAACACAATTTGCGAATCTATTGAGAAGCATGTATGTTGACAAATATTAAATAATTTAGCTTTATCATGTAGAATTTTAGCTGCTGTGACTGCTTCCATCAGTTCTAATGGAGGCACTGTTGAGCTTTTAAGAGGAACTATTCAGATTTCTGATAAAATGAAACTTGCTTTAATTTCACCAAGCTTGTTGATCTATCTGAAATATGATACACTTCCATATGCATTATAATTTACATCACATAATGTATGTAAAGATATGACACTATTTAGCTTTTTGAAAGTACTTTCTATCAGTTTATATTCCTGTTGAAAAATTATTTCAGAAAGCCATTTGTTGTGAGACTCTACCTGAATTTCAATCACTCAGTTGATTCTGTATTAAATAAACATAAAAGAAAAATTTGTAATTGAATGAAGTAGGTTATCCACCTAAGTAATCAAATTAAGACAGGCAGTCCACCTAAAATAATAAAATTAAGCAAGCAATCCACCACAGAACGAAAAAAAAAAAAAAAAAAAAAAAAGGCACATTCTCACCTTTCATTTTTATTATTCTAAATGTAAACAAAAATATAGTGTTGCCAAACCGCAGACAAAAATCTTTTAGGAAAATTACATTTACACGACCGTTACACTGCTTATGACACCATTTTTTAAATTCAGTCTCAGTATCATTTGGAAGCTATTAAATCCTAATCAAGGCCTTTTATGCATATTTGTTTTAGCAGAATTTTAATTATGATCACAGATAGGGATATAAATCCAACTGGATCATAGATATTTGTCTGTAATTTGTAACTCGGCGCTTTTATTGTGTAACTAGCAATTAAGTGAAGATAGTTTAAAAACTTAAA